ATATAATATTATATTACAAAATTTTATAGAAACAACTAAAATAATCTTGTAAAGTATTTTATCAATCTTTATCGGAATCCTCGCTTGTCGCGCTTTTTTCCTTTTCTTCCAGTTTAGTTCGTGCAATAAGTTCTTTTGCAGGGTTGAATGTGCCGTTAGTCTGGGTATTGCAGATGTAACATCGTGTACTTTTCTTATATTGCTCCAAAGCACATTTTTCACAAAAGTAATGCTTGCATCTAAAAAAGAATGGATTAGTCATAAAAAATATATTAAAAGCACCGAAAAAGTTAGCGATTAAGGATATACTTTAACAATCATACTTTGTAACAACAGGATCTGTGAAACTATTTCTACAAATAAAGCATTTAAACGGCAAGTTCTCCTCATCGCTGTCAATCTCATATTTCTTATCGTCTTCGTCTCCACTATCATTATATTCGCCAGTAGCAGCTTCTCTCTCCAATTGCCATCCCAGTTTATAATCCGACCGATCGTGTAAAAACTTACAGCTATCTGTATACAACGCAATAGAAGAATTTATATTAATACTAATTGAAAGTTGTATAGTATAATTAGTACGATTATTCAAAGAATAACTGAAAATATGATGTACCTCCAAAACCGCAGAAACCAGTCTCTTTGTAATCTTTGCATATGTCGGGTTGATAGTCCCATCTAACCGTTGCTCTAAGATTGGATGGTGCTCGAATTGGTCCCTTACGAACCATTCCGCTGGATGCATTTCCAGCCGCAGTATCCTTCTTTTTATAGTATTGTGCATAATTGTTCAAGCCTCTATAAATTTTATCATCTTGTTTTCCCTCTAATTCCTAATGATCAAGAGACGTATTATCAACTTTATTTTTCTAAGCAAGTTAATTTCAAACTCATTTAATGTACTTGATGAGTCAAGTACTCAATGCTATTCACTTAAAACATACCTCATTTATTTTTTGGGCCTTCTCAAATAGCGCTTGAGCGTCCCTGTCTTTCTCTGTTTCTGTTTCAAGAATAGCCGTTGCTCCTTGGTCACTCGGCCCAGCTGGTAGAGCCGTTCTGTTACTCTTATATGATACAGTTATGCCATCATCCTCACTATTATTATCGTCGTGCTTGATCTCCTGTTTCTTCACATTTGTCTACAAAAACAGGAATCAAATTATATATTTTTCAAATATCACACGTGTCTCCTTGTTCATTTCTACCAATGTAGATTAACTTTAATCTCGGTTTAACTTATTTTTATCTCTTTCATATTCTAAGAATTAGAAAAAAATGAAGAATAAGTTCTAAAAATCTGTAGTACTAGAAATAGAGTTTGAGACTCCATAGGTCTGTTTTCTATAGTTGAATTAGTGTACACTCTTGAAATTTAAAATGGAATATTCTTGATATATTTGATGAAAGTGAGAAAGAAAGTTCCAATGCAGTCTAATCAGGAATTAAAAACAGACCTAATTAATTGCGAAGTTGTTGATGCAACCGCGCCGTTTAAATATCCTATATATAGAGGTTATGCGTCTCCGTCACAGTGCGAAATACTTACGCTTTGTATCATGGGATTGTGATCGTCCTGTTTCTTTTCCTTCTTAACCACCATGGTCTCATCCTCGCTGCTATCTACGTAGGAATCAATACAAACGTTTATCCACACGACGTCTTTTTACACATAACCTAAAACTTTGGTTCGACTAAACTTATTCGAGAGATATAAATGTGATATCCAGATAGCGTGTACTTAAATTGACATTTGTTAACAATCACTCACCATCGCTGCCGTCCGCTCCTCTCCGCTTTCTCGTGGCATTATTGTGGATTTTACGCCTTTTAAAAAGAAAGGTGCAGTTCTTCTTCTCCGGCTCTTGCACTGCGTCGTCCATGTTTGTTTCGTAAACACTAGTGAACGCACGTAAACACCATCTCTTTGACATTCATTCAGCAGCCGGGTTTGTTTCCTGTTGTTTCTGTTTCACTGCTCGCCACGCATTGTTCCTCACGTCAAAATAAAAGTGGCCGAAAAATCGACTAATAATTCCAGGCTCAGCGACTTGAGTAAGTTCACGTGAAAGATGCTTTCGGTGTCATCGAACTCGGCTCGAGACCGGGTTGCCCGGGTTATGTTTTTTGACCGTATCGTATAGGCGGTATATTTTTAAATATTATGCCTTACAATTAGTTTAGACAAAGAACGAGCATAATTGTCTTATTTATGATGTATTGACATAATTATGGCGTATCTGTGAGACTAAAGTATGTGATGTCAGTTATTGATTATTTTGAAGAGTGGATAATTTATTGGGGATTATATAAGAGAATCTATATATAAAAAAAAATGTATATTAATGTAATATTACACATACATATATTTATAATATGCTTTTAGTATTGCATTGTGATTTGTATAGTGTCTTAAAAATAGTATTTAAGAAAAAAAATTGATAAACTTTATCATTTGCAGGTCTTCCAATTTCCTAAAGTAGTCGTAAGATAGTACCAGTAAGAACAATGAGCAAGAAGAAGAATATGGCAATCGATTTTCAAGACAATATGATACTGCTTACGCGAAAGTATTTGAAGCGTAGAATAATGTGCCCTGAAACGAAGTTCAGACATCATGTTAATGAACGACTACATGTGATGAATTTAGTGAAACGTACTGTTGAAATAGGTGAAAGCAATTCTGTCTTGTTAGTTGGACCTAGAGGCAGTGGAAAGACAACGGTATATTTATTCTTTATGACTGTAAAATAGTGATACACAGAAGCATGCAAAAAGCTGATCATTTACATGTAAAAATAATTTTACTGTCTCAAAAGTATGCATACAAATGTAGTTATTTGCATGTAAGACTCAATTAAAAAGGAGATAACAAAGGAATCTAAATATAAATCCTACTTTATCTTTTTTTAGTTCTAATTCTTAGAAATAAAAAAAGATAAAAATAAGTTAAATTTAGTATATAATTCTATCAATTCATTTTTCTATCAATATGATAGCTTTAATCGTAATTAAACTTTTTATCTTTTTTTTTTTTTCATTTTAAGAAGTAGAAAAACGTAAACGGTAAGTTAAGCCGAGATTAAAATTGATGAAACCGAGCCTGAGAAATTAAAAAAAGATAAAGAGTTAAATCAAAATTAAATCTATATTGGTAGAAATGGACATAAGAGATTAAAGTTAGTCTCTTATGTCCATTGATAAACATTAATAATAGAGGAAGATAATTTTAATGAAGATGTTGGCACTTAGGAAGCGATTTCATTGCATTTGTAGTATATTCAAATATAATTCAATCTCGATTTTGGCCATTTAAGTGCTGCATGTATTGTACACTTACTGGATACACCCCTGGTGATACACTCTGTATTCTAATTAATGATAATTATTTACATGTAATTCCAGCTTGTTAATAGTGTCTTGAAGGAATTGTCTGCTTTAAAAAGTTTTAAAGACAACGCGATAATAGTGAATCTCCATGGATTGGTACACACTGACGACCGTTTAGCGCTCAAAGATCTAACTCGTCAGATGCAATTAGAAAATGTCGTTGAGGGTAAGGTTTTTGGTACATTTGCAGAAAATCTAAGCTTTCTCTTAGATTATCTGAAATCTGGTGATAAACATCGCTCCAAACCAGTCATCTTCATACTTGATGAGTTTGATCTGTTTTGTGAACATCATAATCAGACATTGTTGTATAATCTGTTTGACGTTGCACAATCTGCACAGGTAAACGTTTAAATGTGTCAGACTAAAAAAAAGTAAAAAAAATCTGTAGATTTTGATATAAATAAATACTTTTATTTTTGTAGATACCAATATGTGTAGTGGGGATAAGTTGTAGATTAGACGTCATGGAGCTGCTGGAGAAGAGAGTCAAGTCGAGATTCTCGCATCGCCAAATATTTTTATTTCCCGGTGATACATCATCTTCGGAACAGCCTATGTCCGCGTTTGACGATCGTCTGGAACTCTTTCGAGACCTTCTCAGCTTACCTGACGATGAAAATGTAAATAAAATGGAGCAACAGTACGATGATTGTACGATAGATCCGCAATTTGGTTCTATGTGGAACGATTATATTAAGAGTTTAACTACCAATGTTACGATGGTGAATTTACTTAAGAGAATGTATCATATTGATGTGAGCGAGAGGAGCTTTAGAAATTTTCTCGCGGTAGCCGTCTCGACGTTGTCCGAAAAACATCAGAAACTGGAAGTGAATGATTTTGTCGAAGCAAGTAAAATCTTTTCACAGGATGATAAATTGTTGATACTCGAAGGACTGTCCATTTTAGAAATGTGTTTGGTATGTTTTTTTGCGATTATTTCCTAAAATTAACTTAATTTTATAGCAAAAAATATCTATATTCCGATATCACAGATAATAGCGATGAAACAGGAGACGGAAATTTACGACGGCGAGCCATTGAATTTCGAGGCGATATACAATCGCTATATGAAATTTGCGAATCAGAATTCCTCTGTACAATCTGTCCAGAAACCAGTTATCATGAAAGCTTTTGAGCATATCAAGGTAAGAGACGCTTTCATACTAAAATTATTTGGTTCTTGAAAAGAAAAGATGAATAAATATATATATATATATATATTCTGTAGAACTTAGAGATCTTGCTGCCAGTTGGAAATACGAATACAAAGTTCGAAAAAGAATATCAATATTACAAATTTACGTTAACATCGCAGCAAGTTATTGAAGCTGTGAAAAATTATTCTGGTCTTCCTACAGAAGTTTCTCAGTGGGCATCAAGCAGTATATAATAACGATATAGTTTCAAGTATTCAACCTATTGTGTTCCATAAAACTACACATGACACGTAATTAATAAGTTTTTTAGCGACGTATTTATAGAATAAATTTAGATATAGGTATTTATATCACTCCAATATTAGGAATATACTTGTAGGAATCGATAATAATCTTTTAGACACATTTTTATATGTTAAATATTATTATTAAGCTCATTTCTCTCTATACTCCTGATTAATAATCGTCATAAAAACGAAGACAATTATGAAGATACGCGACGTTTACGTTTCGCGTTTATATATTATGCCCTCCAAAAAACGTGTGATACTCTAGTCTTACATCTTTTGAATATTGCCATTCATACGTATATATATCCAGTTAAATTTTCTAAATTTAGTTTAGAAAATTTTTCGAAATATCAATAGAGTAGAAAATCGGAAGAAATATCACAAAAATACAATGAAATTGTAAATATTCTCAATACGCATTAGTACAATATTTAAAAAGAAAAAAGGAGGAATAATATTTTGTGAATATATACTAAATATGGTTTCCAGGAACAGTTCCTGTCAATATACAAACGAAGTAGAGGTATACGCATCTTCGATATATGAAAGATAATAAGGAAGATGCATAAATATTTATCGAATTATTTTATTTCTTACAATAACAAGCATTATCTTATCAAGTGTTATGAACGATTAGCTAATTTAGTCGATTGAAACCATATTTGTGCCACTGACTAAGCAGTGTTAAAATTCAGTTTGTCTGTGATCCACTTATCATGTCCATTTATCTCTCTGTGTCGTGTGTGCGAGCGCGCATGTATGTCCGCGATCAATATTTATATGTGTGAATGAATAAAAATTTAAGTACTTATTAAGAAACGTGTCTGTGTCGCACAGACACATACATATTATTCGGACATATTAGAATGCAACGAAATTACATTGTGCACGTGTCTATGTTTATACATTTGTAATAAACAATTTACATCTCTGATAAAGTATAAGTCTCACTGTGGATCCGTTCTTTTTAATCTATCCAAGCAAACTGTGGCTTCGCTACCGCGGTTATCGTAGAGTCCGCGATCGTCCTGATTTGGGAATTTCTCGCCACCAGCTTCTTTGGCAATTGAGGTTTCCCAGATTTTGAAAAATTCGTTAATTTTTTCTTTTGATGCTGAGTAATATATGAATCGTGACCTGTATCAAAAATGCGCGTTACACATTTCGGCACAGATTTTAGACGTAGTTCTCTTACCAGGATTCATGCCTACAGGAGGTACGTTCCTTAGTACTTCTTCCATAGTAAACGGTCGAAGCGCTGACATAGCACGACTCACACCTATCTGTAAATAAACATGTTTCATATCACATATCATAAGTAAAATAAACTGCGTAAAAAATTAAGAAAATTCGCACCTTTGAATGACGTATTCTATGTTCTACAAGATCTGCTCCGAGTACTTCTTCATAAACTGCCATTCTAATCGGTATTATTTTATCTATTATCTACAGATAAGGATATTTACAGATACCATTTACATTTTACATATGATACATTTTTTTAAGGAATAAAATCACAAACCCATAGCAGTGTGATAGAGCTGAAGAAACTCCAAATTGATAAGCAAAGTGCAGATAAACTTTGTACTCCTAAAAGGTACCAACCGCCTCCTACGAACAAATAGAAATTCATGCACTGTATGACTTGGAATAAGAAAGATGCGTAAAAATTATAGCATACCTTTGAACAAGCCCTTTCTTCCACTTGTGGTGTCAAGGGGATGAGGATTATCAGCAAATAAACCAATGGCAATAACTCCCCAAATGCCACTTGCGCCTATACTTTAAACAAATACGAGTGTTTATTGTCGCGATGGAGAAAAATTGATAAAAATTTGATATATTGATGGAATTAATGTAAACGAACCGTGAGTGGCGGCTGCACCAACAGGATCATCTATGTGAATTCTGTCTAATGCTGGCATTGTGATACACGTGATAAAACCACCTACCATTCCGACTATCATCGCTTCCCAATTTCTGTACAGGAAACACCCACCTGATGCAACATAAATGTTTAAAAATCGGTTGTTTTCTCACGTTTTCTGTATTAATTAAACATGTACCGGTAACTGCCACCAGTGCGCCAAGAACACCGTTTATCTGACTAAGGATATCAATTCCATTCGGATTAGTCAAGCTGAATCCCAAACCGATAAGACCACCTCCCATACTGGCTATCATCGTGGAGACAGCCGCTCGAGCGGCGTACTGCCATCGATCACCGGTTACTCCGTAAGTACTACCACTGTTGAACGCTAACCATCCCCACCTATTTATGGTTCACAGTCCTTTTTATATTCTATTTAATTTATTGCATTCGATATCGCGGTAATCTACGATTGTTTTACCATAGCACGAACAGCCCCATAATAGCATTGACTGGGCATCCGAGTGGTAGAGGGTCGATGCCGTTGTCGTATCTGCCTATTCTGGGACCGAGCATGATTGCACAAGCGAGAGCTGTATTAACAGGTAAATGCATCTATCGAAATTTATCCGTTTATCGTTGATTACCTGGCAATGATATTCTTGTAACTCTAATTACCTGAAACACCACCAACAAGATGCACCGGACCAGAACCAGCAATATCAACGACCCCCATGCGGTTCAGGAAACCATGATCGCCCCACACCCACCCGGCTGGCATGCAGTACACGATAGTGTTCAAAAACGAGAAGAGGCAATATGCCTTAAAGTTACATCTAGAAATACAAAATGTAGAACTGATATGTCTTTGATATCGTATTTGCGAAAATAAATACCGTTCTGCCATAGCACCACTAACGATGGTCGTAGAGGTGGTGGCGAAGCTCAATTGAAATAGAAATGCGGCGCAAATGGAACCCATGTATTCGTCGTCGACGGGAGGATCCACGAGTATACCTCCGATGCCGATTAGAGGGTTGTTGGGTTTGCACAAGCCAAAGCTAAATCCGAATCCAAAGATCCAATAAGTTAAGCCGCCGAGAACTATATCGACTACATTCTTCATCATGATATTGACCTCATTTTTCAAAGATACACAGCCGGACTCTAACATTCCGAAACCTACAGAGTTTGTAAGAGAATCAATATTGGTGCGCGTATTAATAAAAGTACAAAAATAACGGTAGTTCATCTCTTAATCAGACAGATAGAATAACTTGCATATTTCGGAGATTATTTTTAGTATTACCTGTTTGCATTGTAAAAATCATGAAGGAGCTCGTGACGATCCAGTTGCTATCTTCTTGCGTAAGATTGTATAAAGCGCTAACATATCTATCAACAGTAACGTTTGTATAATTTTTCTCGGAATTCGCCAGTTCCATGATGTTCAAACTGTTACTTCGTCGCTAGAAAGAGTTTGACTGCTAATGTCTTCGTTCGCATGTATTGAGCGCGGAGTTGTGCTTGGGACAAACAAATTAAAAATTTAGGATGTACGCGGGCAAAACAAGTCTGGTATTGGTATTGATAGTAATGTCAGGACTTCTGTCAGCAACCGATCAAGCGAAACTATTAAAAGAAGCGAATCATTAAATAAGAAAATATTTTAGATTATTTTAGAATAGACAAAGCACTTAAGACACGTTTTCATGTTTTTAACTTTTTTTTTATTGGCCTTACATTTTCGAGATTACAGAAAATTTTTCTCGCTCGCATATCCAACAATTTCTCTTCGTTCTTTTAATTAAATAACGTCAAAATTATGTATAATACAACATTAATCTAATATATATTATTGAAAATGATATCACGTATATAATGAATTCCCGTCATCTATACCATACTTTAAGATTTATGATACAGTACAATATAGGTGCTAGTCTAAAAAAAAAGAAAAAACCATTATGACTGTAACGTGCAGTGAAGAAATAATGTGTGAGAATGTTAACGATGATGGCGATGCAGACTTTTTTTGGTTTTTTCTTATTTTTTTTTATAGGTGGCCAGGCTAGATTAATGATATTACATGATCACATAAATTTACACAAATTAGTTCTTACATAATACGGTGAACTAAAGCCCTCTTAGGTGGCAGAATAAAAAGAATGGAATCGACAAGCATTTTTTTTTTATCATTCAAGGATATGGTTGTGTAGATTTATGGAAGCGAATGTGCAATATCAAGACAAAATTTCACACAAAGTATATCGATAGATGTAATTTTGTATGCTCGGTTTTCGAAAGCGTCTCTATGAGGACTACGTTGGTAGATGGTAGATTTTTGTTGTTGAATCCCTTGCTGTTTTGGCAATTTGCTCATCCTGCGGGGTTTAGTGACCGTATACATTTTCATCGCTATACGCTATGTATAGGAAGAAATCCTCTTCGTGATGTTCCTGTTGAAGAGTTTTATAAGATTAGACGAGCGACTATGAAGCATAAAAATCAAAGCATCTCATTTGATATACGCATTTTTCATAACAATAGTCAATCCAATTACCGCATAAAGAGAACCCATGGTAGCGCTTGTTGGAGGAATGATGTTGTTTACGAAGAAGAACAAGGCATCTTCGGGACGTAAATGAATCCTCTTACGAATTAAAAAATAAAATTGACCGACAGTCAAATCAGAAGGTACCAAATACTTTTGTTTGTCCAGATCGCTGATCTTTGCTTTAGGTGCCTTCTCGACTATCACCTACAACAACATTTACATTATGTCTCTCAAATATTTTTTAAATATATAAAAATATAATATTAGTTATAATATAACATTAGGAGGATATTTTAATTAGTCGCTGCAAAGGCACAAAACAAATCAATCACTGGGCCTTTTTCTCCAGGAGGAAAGAAGAGGAAGAAAGATGAACTGGTGCAAAAGTTCAGCCAAAAAGAACAGGTCTCTACTGCATATCTCATTAAAGTTACTTAAGCTATTTGCCTGGCAAATTGACATTTCAGCTTTCGCTAACAAAAATCATAAAAAAACAACTTTTTTTTGGCTCGCTACAGTCAAGTTTCAATTATGTACTTAATGTCATGAGACCGAGTGAGACGGTTTAAATCGGTTGAAACACGTCCAACTTAACGGATTCAAATTCGAGTCCTGTTGGACTGGCGAATGCACGTGTAATTCGATACGATAATTTCGAGTGAAACGTCATGTGATCCATGATTCAGCGAAGATAAATAATTTATTCTTTCTTTTGTGACGATCACGAATATGACCATGAGTTAGGATAAATTCAGGAATGAATCACGTTTTAAAAAATGATTGATTAAAAAGAGATTAATCTGCCAGGAATTAATTATAATGACAACCACAAATATCAATCTATCTTTTTCCGTTTCTTTTTTTCTCATTTACGGAATATTTGATCTGTAAAACGTGTTTTTTTCACGATCGAAATATGCAAATGTAATCTATTCGTAGA